TTAACTTAGGTACTCTCTCTGAAAATGGTAATGTGCATTATGTTTTAATTATACTTCTTATCATTCAGAAGCTTTTTGTGTGTGTGTTTATGTTTCACTGAGTGCTTATAGGCAATTTCCATCCCATTCCTAGGTGAACTTAACATCTGTATGGAGTCAGATCAGTCTCAATATTAATACATGCTCACAGAAGGATTCACAAATGTATTTTGCCATTTATATATAAATGACTCTCCACAACAATATCTCTCAATGCACTCATAAATAATTATTGTTGTATATAAATGTACAAAAAATTGTCATTTAAACTGCTTTTTATTAATTCAAAGACGGCTCTGAATTAATAATCAAATATGTTTCCTTTCTTTATTACTGGATGAAATTACAAAATGTACCCATCATTTTCCTCATGCTAGTATAGCCACATAAAAGTATCAAACCACCTGTTAAAATGCACCAGAATACAGGAAATCAATTTTTTTTTCTTGGTGGGGGACCCACACACCCCCCGTTAAAAATGTCCCCCCCCACATTCAGGATGCTTCCTACGCCCATGCTTCAATGCACACACAAACTTGTTCCGTTTCATATACATGTAAATAAAATCAAAATGCAGACAAATGTTTTACATATGTATTTTTGATCTACGCATATTTGTTTTCCGTTTGGGTTTTTTGAGACTCCCCTGACGATCACCGTCACCCGATTCGTACTTGTAATTTTTTCTATCTATCCAATCACATGAGCGCGCCCCCACGATGGTATGATTTATTGCGTTCCGGACGCGATGCGAATAATCACTCGAGTTTCACGCCGGCTGTCAGCTGTGTTTACTCGCCTCATTCATCTGAGTCAGCTTCTCGAGCCGTATCTGGCCGTGCAACACGTACAGTAGGCTTGTTTGAGACGCGTTGCGGCTCGCCTCGAAAGTAGACGAGAGTAGCCGATCGCAGCCGGGGGAGGTCTCAAAAAGCTCGCCTGAAGTCGGACAGCTTCGAGTCGGCTTCTTCATCTTCTTCTTAGCCTTCTTCTTCTTCTTCTCTCGGTTATTTGGCGGATTGAAAACAACTTTAAGGTGCATACCGCCACCTCCGGAGTCGGCTTGACTCGGTTTGCATTTATAAAGAATGCACACATGTGTTTAATCGTTAATGTCAGATATGTACTAAGTAAATACATTTGTTCCTGCTCAAGATTAGATTCAACTTTATTGTTGTTGCACATATTACAGGTACTGAGACAACGAAATGCAGTTTAGCTTCTAACCAGGTGCAACAAGCAGTAAAGTGAAAAGTAATGTACACAATCTACAGAATAACATATAACGAATTAATTGAATGATGAATAAACAGTGAGGGGTATGAATACACTAGATATACACAGCAGCCTGTGAGCAGTATGAACAGTGTGTATGAATATGCTAAGATATATAAAGTATGAAAACGGTAAGCAGTGCAAGTATACAATATATGGATATTAATTTCATGATGATAAACATTGTGGAACAATGATGAAAAATGGGAATGGATGTGGCGACGTAAAACTGACACAAAACAACAACAAACTTTTGCCGAGCCAATTGGAGAGTTTCATCAGCAGCACGGGGTAAAAACCACCAATGAGCGCTCAGCTCGAGATACCAGCGAGTCGTTTCCCATCAAGCATTTCGCTTCCTCGCCGCGCCTCGCTCTCAAGGCTGCGGGCGTCTTTGTCCCGCGAGATTTCAACGTCTCATGTAGGCGAGCCTCCAGAGCAAGTCGGACAAAATGACTAACTAACAAAAATCTGCAGGATTCAAATATCAAAATATGTATAAAAGTGAAATCTGAAATAAATATTTTATTCAAAAAAATTGCTGAACTGAATCAAAATAATATTCAACCTGAAAAATTATTTCAAATACTTACTTTTATTTTGAATACATCATTGTATTTTTCAAAGTTAAGGATAAAAACTTGAACTTTCAAATAAATTGTATTTTTTTGAATGATCAAAACTTATGACCCTGAAATAGCTCCATAGCCCCTCCCTCTCACTGTCTAAGTGAACGGTGACTGTAAAAACTACACTGCGCATGCTCAGAGTATTTTCCTATTTAATGTGTGTGGCAAAAAATAATCACCATAGGGGCATAGAGCTGCCATCCCCACCATACGTCATCTCACATCATTCAGAGCTGATTGGCTGTAAGTACGTGTGCCGCGAAAAGTGTGGTGTGTGAAGAGGAGGAGAGAGACGCGTCCTAAAACCAGGAAGTAAGCTGCGCATGGCTTCCCTCCACAAAAAAGCAGTGAGATTTCTCCATAGGATTTTAGAAAATAGCTCAAAATAAGATCTGTGGGAAACGTAGCTGTTAGATAAATGTACATTTTGTTCAGCCGGATAATATCCACATGTCTATCCTACTTTTATAATTTTCTAATCATAAATCCATCATTTAGATTTATGATAGACTTTTGAAACTACAAGAAGATAAGGAGGACTTTTACAAAAAAGTAATAGAGATTTGTGTCCAGAAGGATAGGCAAATGGACTTCATCTTCAAGTCAAGGTAAGACCACCATTTTATTGAAAATGGGATCTTACTAAGAGAGAACAATTCAATATTTAAATGATACAATTACATTTTTTGGGTATCCTTCTGTTGAACTGTCTGTTTAAAATTAATTGAAGCATCAGACAAAAAAAGCTTTTGAAAATAATAATATATTTTGATTTAGGTCAAAATATAATATTTGTAAACCTGAAGAGTCAGTGCCAGTGCCTCACCAGCCATGAACCTCACTGCAGAAGCTTATATATAGACATCTGAGTTTTTTGTACATATAGAAACGCCACTGCACATACTGTATGCCGAAGTATTATTTTAAGCAACACATTAAGTTTGACGAAACACTCGAGTCAAATGTAATTAAAATCAGATCCACTCGTGTCTTAGACGGGGCAGCAGTAATATCATAAACCTGTTAATGTACGCATTTAAACACTCGGTCGTTTTTAGTTTTTTTGTACCAGTTGTTCTGTATTCACCTTGCAGGTGCAGCTATGTTGCTTGTATCCTGGATTAAGTGTTGAAGTCATGGATGTTTAAAGTTTAACTTCTTCATATTTGTCTAATATTATAGTTTACTTTTCATTCATGAAGTATGACGCCGCGCTGTCAGTACGCTTGTGCCTGTTTGTGATTGGTCAAATATAGCTAACCCCGCCCAATGAAGCGTTACGTCATGAACGCAATAAATCATACCATCGTGGGGGCGTGCTCATGTCATTGCCTTAGAATGGAGGAGGAATCTGATTGGCTATAGATAGAAAAAAATTACAAGTACGAATCATCGATCGACCGTCAGGGGAGTCTCAAAAAACCCAAACGGAAAACAAATTTGTGTGGATGAAAAATACATATGTAAAACATGTTTCTGTATTTGGATTTGGTAACACTTTATATTAAGGTACACAAATTAACCACTAGTTGTTAATGAACATGCATATTAGCAGTATATTGGCTCTTTATTGGTCATTATAAAACACTTATTATAATGCCTTATTCTACAGCACCATATTCTACCAGTAATAAGCCATTAGTAGATATAAATACCTAATTTTGAGTTCTTTAGACACAATTAACACTTACTGTATAGTTTCATGTCTTGTTACATAAGAATAGATCATATTTGTTAAGTGTTATTATGGGAGAATTACTATTCTTGTGCTACTACTGCCTTATTAGGCCCATATTGAGCAGAGCATATTAAGACCAAAACTCATGTCCAACAACTTCCTTACTTGCAATAAATAAGCACTAATTAGAGGGTTATTGAGGAAAAACTCTCAACTAATGGTTTATTACTTGTAGAATATGGTCATTAAACCAAATATTCTATGATAACACTTTGAAATGTGCTTTTATGCATCGTGATTCTTTTATACATTTTTCTATACTTGATACTGCTTTTACCCAAGTAACATTTTGAATTCAGTTCAACTTTCAATGGAGTATTTTTAGACCATAGTGTTCCTGCGTTGGGGAGGAGAGTAGAGCTGTGTTGTGTTTGGAGGAGGGACTTCATCATTTAAAGAAGTATCAAGTTCCTGGTTAGCCAGTAAAGAAAGAGAGAGTCAGTGGTAAACCATCAGAGTCTCAACATGAAAGTCTGTCACACTTTGATCTGCTTCTTCTTCCTCTTCTGTGAGTACTTCACTTTATTTTCATGTTAGTAATTGAATATTTCCTATAAAGTATGTATTGAGTTAATGCAAGGCTCCAGCAGTACGAGTTATTCAAATATTTCAAAGTTAGGCTTTTTAGTAGCTTTGCAACATACAGTATGACCTAAGCTTCAAATGTAATGTTCACTTCCTCAAACAAACTGTAAATTAAACATCATTAAACTCAGTTATCATCTGCTCACTGAACGAGTAACATGTAGTCATTACGACGTGAAATAATGAATATGATTGTTTTCATAATCATTTAATCTGCAAATAATTTTCTTGATTAATTTATTAATCTTTTGATTTGTATTCTGCCGCTAATGTTAATTTTAAACTTTTTATTATATTTGTATCTTATTGTATCTTTTAAACATTTATAAATCGCGTACAGCTTGACACTGCTGCTGGAACAAAAATGATTTCCCAATTTGGGATAAAAAGTATATATCTATCTATCTAAGGGGTGTTGTTGACATAAAACACTTTTTAGGTGATGTACTTTAAGGATTTGCGTTAATGTAACGCTTAAAGTAAGAGATGGAGACTTCATGTAGTCTTTGTGTCTAAAGGATAAAGATCTCAGACCAAACGGTCACATTAACCTGCAGTGCTGATGGTGATCTTCAGTCACAGGCTGTGGTTTAACTCTGAGGATCTGTGTTCATGTGAAACAGGAAGTGTTGTCATCAGACTGCAGCATCTTACAGGAAATACTGACCACTACTAATGATGGCTCATCTTTTGTTCACCTTTTGTTCAGCTCTGCAGGATGGAAGCACCGGTCTCGTCAGTGCCCAACTCGCTGTCTATTTAGTAACTGAAGGAGAAAATGTCAGATTGAAATGCTCCATTCCTTCTTATAGAGGCAAAGAGTTCTTCTGTAAGGAACCATGTAAACAAAAAGACATTCTCATTGAAACAACTGATTTCTCAGCTCGGAGAGGCAGATACAGCATTGATTATGACGATAGACATTTTTTTGTGACCATCACTCAGCTGACCAAGTCTGACTCAGGACGCTACAAGTGTGGTGCGGTTACAGCAGGTGCATACCAGAATATTTAAATCATCGTTGTTGATGGTGAGTTTCTACTAAACACAGAATGTTCTTTCTTGTCCGGAATTTTTGTTATCTTCTCACCTTTACTTCATTTAAATCCCCCTTCTGAAAGTAACCGATAAAATGAAATAGACACGACTAAACAAGTGTATTTTATTATTATTGTACAACACACACTTAGTGTTGTTTCAAGGGATATTTTAGTGATGGAGAATTTAATACCAGGGGCACAAGCATATTGGTCTGTTGTGTGTTTTCCATTGAATGAAGTAGAGTCTATGAGACAGCTTTCTGTTCTGTTGAAAAGTAAGACAATGAAGGAATTAAATGAATACTTTACCAAATATACAATTTTAGATTAGTTAATTACTCATCCTGTGTTACCTTGAATTTGTGAAGAAAACTTTTTCTAGCATGACTCCACGGTGAACAAAGAATCCCAAAATGGAGAAAAGTATCGGTGAATTAAAACATCCATTAACTAACTCTAAAACAACTAATGCAGTATAGTCCTAAGGTCATTTACTGTATGCTCAGTATTTCCCTAAAACATGCATTCTGCTTAAACCTCACCGTTTAAAACACTTCTGCAGAAAGAGACAAGCTCCTCTTTTCTCAAAGACAGTTAATGCAGAAGTGTTTAGTTAAGTAATGTTTTAGGGAAGTTATGAGCAAATGGATTCAAGGTAACTCAGGGTAAGTCATAATATCAAATGATAATTTCAAGGGGTAAAGAAATCCTTTAAAAAAAATTCAACAGATCATCTTCCTAAAGTTCACATATTTAATGATCAGTAAAACTCAATCAGGCACTATTTATAACTACAAATATAAAGCCTGCGATTTTATTAAAGCATTCAAATCTAATATAAATCCAAAGTATAATGAAACCAAATCAAACTGAAATAAAAATAATAAAGAATTTCAGTCAAAAAGCTGTTTCATTAAATAGCCACACCTCAGTGGCTGGATCACGTCTGAAAATATACAACGTTTAAAATATTGAAACTACAACTTGTAAACTACACATAGTAACTTTTGATTGTTTTTGTTTTTCAACAGCAAAACTTGTTGGTGGTCCTTCTGCAGAAAAAACAATCGATGCTAGAACTGGGGGAAATACTGTAGTTCAATGCTCCTTTACTCGCTATGGGACCGGGAAGTTCTTCTGCAAGGAGGAATGTGAAGGAGACATTCTTGTTGGAAAGACTTACAAAGATTTGAAAAAAGGAAGATACAGAATCAGATATCTTGAAGGAACTCCAACAGAAGGATTTGTGATTGTGAGCATCGACCAGCTGACCCAGTCTGACTCAGGATGGTACAGGTGTGGTCTGGGCAGACCTGACTCTAAAGATCCATACCAGAGGTTTGGTCTCATCGTCACTGATGGTGAGTTTCTGCTTAATAAAGAAAATGTGGCCAGAAAAGATCTGACCACTTCTACTCCTTCATCATCTGTCCCATCAGCCTCTACAGAAAAAACAAACCAAAGTGAAAGCTCCACATCTTCACCAGCTTCCCCTAAAACCACAGAGCAACCTGAATCAACAACTACTACAGGTACGTCCACACACTGTGCTTACTAGATAACGTTTAAACAACTTATGAAACATAAAGGAGCATGAGAAAGGCCTTCACATTCTTCCATCATAATGTTCTATGCTTTTTCTACAATCACAATCTCTACATTTCTGTTGACATCGAGTACAAATTACAAATCAGATTTTAAAATGCTTCACTTTAAATCCTATTCCCAGCTTTTAAAAGATGTACTCTATTTCTACAGTAGGTATATGGCAGATACTGTTGACCTGATGTCTTCCCCTAAAGATAACCTAATAACCAAATGGATTATGGGGTCTCTTAGTGTTGATGTTATAGTTTACTAGTAACTGTAACTTGTACCACAGGTGTGGTCCTGTATGTGTCTCTGACTCTGGTCGTCCTGGTCATCGTGTCATCACTGTCTGTGCTGGTATTCTGCAGGAAGAGGATTTGTAAAGACAAAAGTGAGGGACCAGGTAACACTCACACTCACACTCTCACAAACACACACACACACACACACACACACACACACACACACACACACACACACACACACACACCACACACACACACACACACACACACACACACACACACACACAGAAACAATTTTTCACAATAAAATGGTAGCAGCTGTTAGCTCTTGATTTGTTATATTAACTTTAAACACAGACGCAAGATTCTATTTGTCTCTCACACAAAAAAGTCCAGTCCATGACCAGATAAAAATAACGCAACTGCTAAAAAACATAAGAATTGTAGGTAGCCTTTTTTGCAGTGGTTTATTGTCTTACTGTGTGTGTGTGTGTGTGTGTGTGTGTGGTGTGTGTGTGTGTGTGTGTGTGTGTGTGTGTGTGTGTGTGTGTGTGTGTGTGTGTGTGTGTGTGTGTGTGTGTGTGTGTGTGTGTGTGTGTGTGTGTGTGTGTGTGTGTGTGTGTGTGTGTGTGTGGGGGTGTGTGTGTGTGTGTGTGTGTGTGTGTGTGTGTGTGTGTGTGGTGTGTGTGGTGTGTGTGTGTGTGTGTGTGTGTGTGTGTGTGGGTGGTTCTTGATCGCTTCTTTGTGAAGAGAGTCCAGGATGTGAGGGAGTCGATGGCCTACCTCACCGTCATGACTCGATACCTTAATAAACTCTACCAGGTAAACGTTTAAATACATATTTTATAAAAGCAATACATGTATATGTTTTTTAAATCGTCCCAAAAGATAAAACAATTACGGTAGGGTTTTGCCTCAACTTCAATCATTTAGACATGTTCTTATAGCCTTTTGAACCCTTGTTCTATAAAGAAATGAGTATATTGTGTATTACTGTATAGGGGTCTAAGACGGCCCCAAAACAAGTGGAATAGTTCTGATAATAAACTTTTAAATCTGTTTTCCAGAACTGTACGCTGACGTGTCGCTCCAGAGAGCTGGAGGGGGATAGAGAGGATGAGGAAGAGGAGAGAGGGACCCCCCCCTGCTCTCTTATCTCTTTTGCAGAGTTCAACCACGGTGCAATCAAAAACAAGGTGTGTGTGTCCGTCTCTTTGTTTTTGCATTTAAAGAAAGACTTTTTAGCAATACCTGTTTTAATTTCCAACTACCCTGTTGGTCCATAATCTATTTTTTACAATACTTTATTCAGAAGACAGTTGAGAACATTTCCCCAGTTACAGGGAGTAGTAGACATTAGCAATAAGGGATCAGTATCTGATGTGCATCTTATAACCCAGTCCTCAAAGACCTCCACTGGCTTCCTGTCTCCCATCGCATCAACTACAACATTCTGGTCCTCACCTACAAAGCACTCCACCATCTGGCCCCCCCTTATCTCACAAACCTTCTCACTCCTTATCAACCTCCACGGTCCCTCAGATCCACCGCAGCCGGACTCCTATCCATTCCCACATCCACACTCTGCAGCTTTGGGGACAGAGCCTTCTCAGTGGCAGCTCCTCGGCTCTGGAAGTCCCTCCCCCAAGATCTCCGTGACTCTGAGTCCCTCACAGTCTTTCAGTCCTGCCTCAAAACACATCTTTTCAACTCTGTGTCTACCCATAAGCCCCCCCCCCTCTCAATCAACTTCCTCTTGACTGCCTTTTTATTTTTTACCTAATTGTTTGCCTGTCCTTGTTGGTCTACCCTCCCTCATACTGTAAAGCGTCTTTGAGTTGTGAAAAGCGCTATATAAATAAAATGCATTATTATTATTATACAATGTTCATGAACTTAATACAATAACAGAAGGGATGTCTCGTCACAGAGGCATACTTGACAAACAAACAAGCAATTACAATATTTTGCTAATTAGACCAAGCAACCTTTTTATTTTGGTGATAGAACTGGTTATCAGCTCATCGGTTCATAATCTATCTTAATAAATAAATCTCTCCCTCTCAGAGTCAGACGGTGAAAGAAGTGTTTGCCCGGCAGCTGATGCAGGTGAGCGGACTGTCGGGAGACAAAGCAGCTGCTATACTGGAGCTCTACAGCACCCCGCTCAGGTAACCCACATTATGATACAGTCACACATCTCACCTGTTCAAGTATTCCTCCCTTTCTTTCAAAGGTGTTTTTAGATAACGTATACAAAGAATGAGGCAGTTAGCACTAGCAGAGATAGATATCATGGAAGCAAAACTTCACCTGCTGCCCGTCAAATACCGCATCGATTTTTAGTTTCTGACTCTCCCTCCATTTTCAAATCACGTCTCTTCACACCCCTGATCACATGACGCATCTTCGGTCCTTATTGATTATATTGCCTTGTTGTTCTGCTGGTTTTTAGTTTTGTGTGTCTTGTATGGCGACCTTGAGAGCCTTTAAAGGCGTCTATATAAATAAAATGTATTATTATTATTATTAAAACATTACATTTCAAGGATTCATTTATTTTTCATATCGCAAAACTACATTGTAATCTTAAGTCTCATGCTCCTCCTCCAACAGTGCAGCAAACAATATACCCAGCATGAAAGAGTTAGACATGAAACCCAATAAAATAATGCACTAGACAAAATGGGACAGGTAAGTTGAAGGAATATGAAAAATGTGTTCATATAATAAAGAATAAGATTAAAAAAAACCTCATTGAGTTCAGAAACTCATGAAATAAACGAGACATTTCTGACTTTGGGTAATTAACAACAAGGTTGAAACATGAGGGTATACTTCGCGTCGGGCCGAACCACGCCCCTGAGCTGTGATATAATGAGCATATACCACGGCCTGAAGTGAGCTATTGCTTTTATAAAACGGTTACCAAGTGTGGCAATATGAAAGAAAAATACACTCTAATTTAAATAGTTTTTATTAGTAAATAATGATGTTCAAAATAAAATAGTCCCTCCGTTGCCTTCTGCAAGAAACATAGTGCGAGGTGGTTGCTATGCAACAACACTAACAGCTAGCGAACATATTAGAGAGCGTTGATCCATTATTTGGCTATTTATTTACATTAATTTGTATGTTTCCGTTTATTGTGCAGCCACTGAAAACCTGTCCAGCATCAGCAGCATGGCTTACGAGGTCACTTGTATAGGTTGAGGTTGTTCTAGGCTGTTGCTTGGCGTGGCGATAATATTGCTCCACTTTCTCCGGTCCCCGAGATTGGGCTTCCAGCAGCTCTGGAGAGAGCTTTCGCACCTGTGGCCACTAACGGTCATCATGTCTCTGCTTTCAAGACCCGCATCAGAAAGCTTTTGAATGGTGCTACTTCTCCAGTTGGTCTCCCTGCTCTTCACGGAGCTCTGCATGTCGTCGTTTAGGTGCTTTCTGGAGATAGGCACTCCTCAATCCTCTCCTCCATAGTAAGACCCCCCGGAGGTCCAAGTTAACCTTACATGTTTCCATCTTAAGCTTTGCTAGTTAGTTTCATAACGGACTTAATGTAACAGCTGTAACGGTTGTAGCTTTTTCTCAGACGCAGAGGGATACTGACTTGTGAAAAGTAACTACGGCTAAGAACCAATCAGATTGCTTGATTTGACTTGTCCGTTTTATAAACACATTTTTATGCAAACTCTCTTCTATTCATGAGTACAAGACATTGCGCTACTGTAAGACATTGTTGACATTTAATTCAAATCTTTCTTCCTCTCTTAATCTCAGTCTCCTGACAGCCTATGAGCGATGTGCAGGTGAAGCTGATAAGGAGAAGCTCCTCTCCTCCATCAGATACGGGAAGCTCAAAAGGTTTGTAGTCCAACTGGTTTCATATTTCTCCCAGCATGCTCTAATGATCCATGTAGTATTTGTTGATAACAAGTTGAAAACCTGAGTCAAAGTACTGTGGCTTTTACTCACAGTTCAGATAAAAATTGACGTAATGGCAGTACTGTAAGAAATTGCAATTAATTCACATTTAATTTCCCCTTTTTTCCAGGAACCTGGGTCCAGCTCTGAGCAGAACAGTTTATCAGCTGTACTGCACTCAGGGAGCACTGACGTAGCTTAATATAAAAACATATCATGAACATATTTTCACTTAGTTTCCATCCCTACCTTACTTGAATTAAACACATTTTAGGATGGAAACGTCCTTTGTTATGTAAATATTAACATGCTGCTAAGTTCTCATCACCGTAACATATTGCTACTTGTATGAAGAATTTCACAAACGCCCCCTGAAACTTAAATAAAGTTTAAGATTTTAAATAGTATTGTTGTTATTGCATATGGATGTTTTACACTACAGTTTGTGAAGAAAGCACTGTGGTAAACTTCTAGACAGTCAGAAATGAAATAAAGAAGAATATTTGTATTTGTAAAACCCTCTGTACTTTTCTTTGTGACCCCTGCTTTCATTTTTACATTTACGCAATGGACTATTTGTTCAAGACAAGATGACTTTTACAGCACTTTTCAGCGACAAATGCAAAGTATTTGACATCAAAAGCATTGAGACAACGTTCAAAAACGTTCCAAAAACATTTTATAAGAGGACGATTCAATGCAATTAAAAAAAACAGTCATTAAAAAGTGAAGAAAATAGACTAAAAATAGAAAATGTAAGAATGTACATATCATACTATTAAAGGTAGTGGTGGGAAAGGTTTTTAAATTCCTTACTTGAGTAAAAGTACTAACACCACACTGTAGAAATACTCAATTTCAAGTAAAAGTATTGAAGTACGATAAGGGAATTAAAGTACTCCGAGTAAAAGTACTCATGTTTTAAAATATTTTAAAGCGATAACAGCAAATATTCACATTTAAGAAGCTGGAATTGTGAAATATATTTGAACAAAATACTTCTTATGGGTTTAGTTTTTTGTATTTTAAACGTGTTTCCTATATTGTGTGTGTCAACATCTGATTTTATTAAGTAACTAGTAAATACATCTGTATAATAAATGGAGTAAAAAGTATAACATTGCCTCCCAACATTAAGTATAAAGTAGTATGAATTATATTACTCAGGTAAAGAACAAGTATCTCAAATGTGTACTTGAGTAAATGCACTTCGACCACTGAAGAAAATAGAAATAGTAACTTTAAAAAGACAAAGGATAGAAAATGAAAATAAGATTTTATAGAATAATACCGGTATACAATGTACATATAGTACTAATAATAATAATAATACATTGAATTTTTATAGCGATTTTCCTAATGCTCAAAGACACTTAAATGCATATTTTAATTAAATATAATAACAACTTGGGGTACAATATTGGGGGTAGAATATTTGTTTGTGATGTCACATTCAAAGGTTATTTGCCTTATTTGTAAAGCAAGCGTCGCTCTGCCAAAGAAAGGTAACGTGGAGAGGCATTATCGGAGTGTTCACAAGGCATATGACAGCGACTTCCCTCCGAGTAGCGAGTTGAGAAAGGTCATGTATTATTGCTACACAAACATTATCTCGCAGTCTTAGTGTCGCCAACTCGTTTCTAACATGCAAAAAGACAAACAAATGTCGGTGTATTTTTTATCTTTCCAATCGAGACGAGATCTCTCTCCCCCGTCTGTGCGCGAGGGGGCGGGGCAGTTTACACACACGCGGCTGCTACAAGCAGCAACACACGGAGGAGATGGCGGAGAGAAGCGCTCCAAGGTGTGGTTAAATGTTACCCGTCTTGAGGTGGACAATGCTCCTTGCCAAGAGAGTTCAGCATGTGAGGGCGGTAACACGAGCAGTGTGTCTAAACATTTATCAAAAGTGCACCACATCCAGACGGAGGAATGCACCGGGTTCGACTGTCTTTCTAGCAGCTCTGTAGCCCCCCCATCCACGAGTAACATTTCCACGTCAGGTGTTATGTATGCTAGCAGCAACACACGGAGTTAACTCAATGATACAAACATGGGTTAATGATTAGAGGTAACTGAGTTACTCTTTATTTTGTTAAAGTTTCAGCTATTCTGTTCACAGTTCTGTCATCACATTATTTAATACGATTTGTTAAAACATTGTTGTTTCTTTTGATGCGAAATATTATTTATTTTATTTAAATAAAAAGCAATGTTAATTTTGTAAACAATTTGTTAATTTAATAATATATGTATTTTTGAATCAAGTATTAATCTTTATTGTCTTCATTGTTAGTTTCCACATGCCTAAAACAACCTCAAGCTAAATCTAAAAGTTGATGGCTAAACAAGAGGGTTTGAGAAATTGTGCAAGGCATACAGTAATAGTCTGAATAGTCGTTTCATTCATCGATAGATTAATCGATTATCAAATTAGTCGTTGCAGCCCTATTATCCCATGTATAAATAAAACGTGTTATTCAGCAACCCTTGCAATTTGGGATTTTATTTTTGGTTGGTAGACCTCGGTGAGCTGGTCATTTCAAAAGTAGCTCACCAGCCCAAAAAGTGTGGGCACCCCTGCTCTAGATACTGTTGTTGCCTCAAGTAGGCTGTTTTAGACAAACACAGTTCTGATTGACTTTTTGTAAAATATTTAAATAATGTCACTCACATTTTTTAGAGCTGTTTAATAATAATCATCATTAAGTGGAGTAAGATTGCATGATTTCCCTTTTCAAGTTAGTGCAGTAGAAGTATGAAGTAGCATCAAATGGAAATACTCGAGTACAAGTACCTCAAAGCTGTAGTTAAGTAAAGTACTTTTTTTTTAAGTCGAGGCTAAGATGTCTGAAAATGTGCTATCTAAATAAACGTACCTTAGTAAATGTACTTCGTCACTCTGCCCCCAGGTCCAAAGGGATGCCCGCCTCGCAGCAGGTCCGGTTGGGTCGGAAACGCCCCCTGCCCTCCTGCCCCAACCCTCTGTTCCTCCAGTGGCTCACCGAGCTGCGGGACGCCGCCAAAGAGAAGGGCCTGAAGCTGCAGTACGTCTACCAGAAGGTAAGACATCAGAACAAAGTGCTCAGGCCTTCATACGTCATGTCTTTATTTACTGTTAGGTTTCACAGTTATAGTAAGTAGTAACACCACTGTGAAGAAATGTTATAACGTATTGCATGCAGTCTAACAAGTCCTGCATTCAAAATGTATTTTAAACATATTTACACTGTGTGTGTGTGTGTCACTGTGTGTGTGTGTCACTGTGTGTGTGTGTGTGTGTGTGTGTGTGTGTGTGTGTGAGTGTGTGTGTGTCACTGTGTGTGTCAATGTTTGTGTGTGTGTGTGTGTGTGTGTGTGTGTGTGTGTGTGTGTGTGTGTGTGTGTGACTGTGTCTGTCACTGAGTGTGTGTGTGTGACTGTGTGTGTCATTGTGTGTGTGTGTGTGTGTGTGTGTGTGTGTGTGTGTGTGTGTGTGTGACTGTGTGTGTGTGAGACTGTGTCTGTCACTGAGTGTGTGTGTGTGTGTGTGTGTCACTGAGTGTGTGTGTGTCATTGTGTGTGTGACTGTCTGTCACTGAGTGTGTGTGTGTGTGTGTGTGTGTGTGTGTGTGTGTGTGTGTGTGTGTGTGTGTGTGTGTCACTGTGTGTGCATCACTGTGTTTGCGTCACTGTGTGTGTGTGACTGTCTGTCACTGAGTGTGTGTGTGTGTGTGTCACTGTATGAGGGGCCGTACAGGCCATAATTCATACTGGTCCTCTCAAGCACATACATTCTCCTTTTACATACATATATTTTATAATATGCATGTCTGAAGAGAATATATGTATGCAAGAGAAGAATGTATGTATGAAGACAATGTATGTATGTGAGAGAAGAATGTATGTATGTGTGAAGACAATGTATGTATGTGAGAGAAGAATGTATGTATGTGAGAGAGAAAGTATCGTGGAAACGGAAGGAGTATGGTTGAAACGGAAGGCAGGTCATTCTTGCGCTGTGATTGGCTGAGAAGGTCGAGCGGGGCGGGCTCATGTTCAGAACTTCTGATTTCAAATCAACATGATGGAGGGAGATGAGTCGCGTAGATTGCAGCAAGCATTAGGGGTTTTAAGGAACATTTGGTCAACCCCTGAAACTGTCACATCCCTCGCCAGGTGTCCTTGCGGGTGCGTTCGCTTTACTTATCAGAGCGTGCCGTAAGGGCGGTTACTCTTTGGTTTATAAACTCCCTCCTGGGACGGACTGATGCATTAGATTATGTGCTATATGGAGGGGACTTTGACAGAGTATTTCTCACAAAGTACACAGTAAAAGTACTTCAATGTATTGTTAGTAGCAGTCAAACTAGTACCGAGTCCAACAGTGTCAGTTTTATGAAGAACTTGTGGTAAAATATATTTGTAAAAAGAAAATGAAGAGCTACTGATTTGAAAAAACGGCTCTCTGTATAGTTTAAATCTCCTAACAATGTTGTCCATTTATTATTCTCCCCTCGAGTCCAACAGTGTCAGTTTTATTAAGAACTTTCAGTAAAAAATATTTGTAAAATATGAAGAGCAGCTGATTTGAAAAGACAAACGCGAGAGACGGCTGAGTGCCCGCAGTGCAGAATCGCTGTATAGTTTAAATCTCCTAACAATGTTGTCCATTTTAGACACATGCTTATTATATTTACAGCCTTAATAACATTCATTTTCTGGGCTCAATGTGTGTCTTGGCCGTTTTCGTTGTGATCGCTAAATTCACCTTGTTTCCCCTTGTTTATAATTATGTTCAACGTTCCAAGCAAACGAGTGCTTTTGTTTTGAAATCACTTCCGCGAGTATCGCGCCCCCCCCCCCCCCCCCCCTCGCTACAATGACCATTAGACCATTTAGTAAGGTAAAAAGCAAAAACGCCTCGCAGACACTCTTCCGTTTACTTGTTTAATAAAGAAAAACAAGTGGTCCGTAGATACACGGAGTCATCTAACCCTAACCCTCTCCCTCCATCATGTTGATTTGAATCAGAAGTTCTGAACATGAGCCCGCCCCGCTCGACCTTCTGAGCCAATCACAGCGCAAGAATGACCTGCCTTCCGTTTCAACCATACTTCTTACGTTTCCACTATACTTTCTCTCTCACATACATACATTCTTCTCTCACATACATATATTGTCTTCACACATACATACATTCTTCACTTGCATACATATATTGTCTTCACACATACATACATTCTTCACTTGCATACATATATTGTCTTCACACATACATACATTCTTCTCTTGCATACATATATTCTCTTCAGACATGCATATATTATAAAATATATGTATGTAAAAGGAGAATGTATGTATTTAAGAGTGAAAATATATGTATGTAAAAGGAGAATGTATGTATGTAAGAGTGAAAATGTATGTATGTAAAAGGAGAATGTATGTATGTAAGAATGAAAATATATGTATGTAAAAGGAGAATGTATGTATGTAAGAGTGAAAATATATGTATGTAAAAGGAGAATGTATGTATGTAAGAGTGAAAATATATGTATGTAAAAGAAGAATGTATGTATGTAAGAGTGAAAATATATGTATGTAAAAGAAGAATGTATGTGCGTGAAATGACCAGTATGAATTACGGCCTGTACGGCCCCTCATATGTGTGCGTGACTGTGTCTGTCACTGTGTGTGTGTGCGTGACTGTGTCTGTGTGGGGTATCTATATTACTTTGTAAGGGTAAACCCCAGCTCGGTTCAATAACCAAAACCCAGTGAACAGAGATAACAGATACTCGAGTTTCAATTTTACTTGCTGCAAGGAGAATCAGCGAGTGACAGGCCGTGTCCACTCCTTAACCAACTCCAACTCGCCTTCTCCCAGCGCATTCTTTTTATTTCAACAATACAGTAACATGACAATCATGTGGTGTTGACCAACGCCTTATTTGTTAGTGTGAATCTTGTGACTCTCAGTCATGTGAATCTGTGTGTGTGTGTATGTGTGGCACTGAACAGACTGTTCTCTGTTCCTCCATTATGCTTCTTGTAACACATTTATGAGAATACATTATGAAAACACATTTATCCTTCAATAAACTCTAACATTCCCTCCTGTTTTTCATAATTACTAGCTGGTTACAGTGTCTTTATTACTTTCAGAATTAATTCACTTGTTTTTGACATTTTCGAACCATTCGTCATATGACAGACAGTAACCTTTAAGTCTTACACATTGGAGGTTAGGTGAGTATATTCGTCCTTCTGAGAGGGGTCTGTGTCAGTATAGTCACCGTTATCTGTCTGTTGCAACATCGTTGAGTAGTGACCATTTTTTCTCTCGATGGACTTCTTCTTTTGTTGAGGATTCCTCACTCAATTGTCTTATAGTCATTAGCGTCAGACCCAGCAGGGTCACTACACACAACACCTATCCCAACATAGTCTATTGGTGATAGTGGTTCTGTTGTTTTCTTCACCGGGGTTGAGACCAGTATTTCCTAATGAAACACCGCCCTTTGTAGCCGGACTTCCACCACTTATCCGTCGTTAAGTTGGAGAGGTATTATCTTTTTGCAGTGGCTCTGATGTATCCACGTAGTTCTTTCGGCGATTTTTAGTGCAGTCGGTGTTGTCAGCAGTACCGTGTAGGGACCGTCCCACCGTGGACAGTGCCAATGCTTCCTCTTAATCACCTTCACGAGGACCTGGTCACCAGTCTGCACTCGAGTATCCTGTAAGGGAGTAGAAATGTCTGGCAAGTTATTTGTTCGAGCTATCTCATTGCTTCTGAAGAGTCTGCTCATCCATTCAGCTAATGTAGTCTCTGCCTCAGCATCACCCTCCTCCTTCACCTCGTCTGTGATTGGTAGTCTGAATTGCCTTCCTGTTATGATCTCAAAGGGAGACAACCCTGTTGCCGTGGGTGTGATTCTCATGCATGTTTCTACTTTCCTCTCTGTGGTCGCTCATTGCCTTGAGCATTGTGTCTGCAACATACTACACAGGCTCTACAAAAGTTTTTAGAAAATGTAATATAGTTGTATGTATGGAAGTGTTCATTTATTATTGTCACCATCCCTCCTGTTGAGACATGGCACGGCCCATGACTCAAATGAGCTGCTGTTTTGTAGAGACTAACAGGGAGTACTATCTTGTTGTTTATTCTGAATGTTCCCTCAGGGTCTGTGGTTAGTTTTTGGTCTAACGTGTACAGGTTTTGCGTTCACCATGCGACCTACATCACATTTTCCTTGTGACCATACGCATGGCGGCACCGTTTTCAGGACCTCTAAGGCCTCTTCACTTAGCATACATCATTGTTGTTCAGGGTCGTCTAGGTGGGCGCGTGGTGTCATCACTAGGGTAAACCCTAGAGTTTTGCGCTTTAACCCGCCTCCAGTTTGCCAACCGTTTTTGTCATCTGTCCATTTTGTTATCCTGTTACCTCTAGCCACTAATAAACCTAAGTCTCTCCATGAAGTCTCTGGGCCCCTAGCTACTGATATGTGTGGCGTGGAACCTGGTTCCATTATCAAGGCAGTGGTTGATGGGACCCTAGCGTCAATTACAACATCCCCGTGTTGGTTTGCATACATCGAGTGGAACACTACCCTCTGTGGTGTCAGTCGATGCACGAGCACATCATAGTCTTTGTCTGGGCCAGGGGTGTTCTTGTACTTTAGTGTAACGTGCAATGCGTCAGGTTTCATTACTTCTTGGTCATGTTGTGGGGTGAATAGTGTTAACAGGTGTTCACCTGTGTTTGTCACGTCAGGTTGTGGCATGTCTAGTGACCAGTAGTAGTTGGGGGTGTTTATGGATTTTTGAAGGAAGACCTGGTCTTCCACCTTTTCTCCGGGCCCTACTGCTCGCATTCCCCCTTTGACTGGTACTACACTGATTTTTAACATTTCCATGCCGTCTCTCCCTAGCAAATTGACAGGGCAGTTTGAGATGAACACACATTTGAGGGATGCCTGGAGGCCTGACCTTCTATCTTCCATAAAAAGTGGCTTTGAAATCGACCTCTGATTTATGTGTCCATTTGCTGATTTTACAAACATAGTGCCAGTTGGTGGCCACATTCTTTGGACCTCTTTGTTCACTTCTGATGAGTCTGCACCGCTGTCACATAAGAATTCTAATTTTTCCCCATTGATTTCGATTGTCCTGGTAGGTTTAATACTGTTGTCTGACAGATTCAGTAATACTTCAGAAAGGTCAATGTGATGTGTGTGGACGTCCTCTTCTTCCTTTTCTACGTCTAGTCAGTTGTCATAACTATGTAGGTTATGTGAAGGGGGGGGGCCATGTCTTTCGTCTTTGTACTGTCCCTTTTGTCCCCCTTCTTTGTTCTGTGGTCTCTGTTCCTCACAGTCTCTCGCCATGTGCCCCTCCTTTCCGCACCTGTAGCAGAGGAATTTGCCTTCTGCGTTTCTGCCTCCTCCTCTGCCTCTGCCTGTTCATCTATCATTCCCTCGTCCTCTGTTAAACCCGCCTCTCCCCTGTCCTGGTCCCACAAAGAAAATCTGATTTTCTTCCCCATCTTCTCCTATGAAGAAAGCTGATGCTGACGCTTTCTTATGTCTTTTTTCTTTGATCTGGGTTGCTGCATGTTCTGCATAATTTAGGCACTCTTGTAAGTCGCATGTCCTATGGTTAACATTATGCTTGCGGATAAAGTCAGCAATACCTGGGTGCAACCCATTCATCAGGCTTTGTTTCAGCTGCTGCACATATGGGGAGTCAACAGCATTGCTGGGTGGAATTCCGCTATGGATACGGAAACAATCTTCCATTCTGATTCTGAAATCTTGTACTGACTCTTTTTCTCCCTGTCTACACCCTGAGACTTTAGTAAAGTCTCGTCTCAGTGCAAAAACCCTCTCGATTGAGATATTTACGGGAGCGAGTGCATTTATGAGGTCCTGCTGACCTGGTTCCAGCGGGTTTCCATTGGGCCAGGACCCGGTGAAATCTCCCTTTACCCTGGCCCATTCGTGGCCAAAGATTGTCATAAGGGTTCTTAAAACTTCATGTCCATTTAAACCATATGACGCTATTAATGCAGTATGGTCAAGGACAAACTGCGCCGGGTCCTGTTTGTATGGAGTCAGTCCCTCACAAGCCTTTTTACACTCATCCATTGTCCATGGGCGGAACACTCTTAACATTCTTTCTAGGTCACCGTCAACTCCATAGTGCGGGTTGGCCACTTGTACTAATGGATAAGCGTCACCCTGATATGCTGTTCCGTCGAAGGATTGTTCTGCTTCTCTTAATTCTTCAACAGGATATAACTTGGTTTCCCCCTTATTTTTTCTGGTGTGCAGTGGGCTTAATGCATCTGCCATTTCTTTGTCGATGCGTTTTTGTGTCTCTCTTTCCCTGTCTTTTCTCTCTTTCTCTTGCTTCCTTTTTATTCTTTGTTCCTGCGCTTTGTGTTCTTCCACTATCGCTCTCTCTTTCTCGCGGCGTACAGCGTCAACTGACCCTGAACGCCCTGTCTCCTCGTCTGCTTTCACTGAAACAGCCGCTGCTATCATACCTTCTTCTGCTCCACCTGTCCTTTTATGGGCTTGTTCAGCCCATAAAGCTGCAACCCGCAGTTGAGCTTCTAACTTCTTTCTTTTCTTGCCTTGTGTTGTTCCAGCTGTTGCTGCTCTCAATTTGTTGCTTAATTATCTTACTGCTGTTTTCTCCAACTTTCCTCGGAAGCCGTACAGTTTATACCATTTGCTACAATAACTGGTGCTGCCATGACTATATATTTCCATATATCTCATGTCCCCTGTAGCGGCAGGCTTACTCCCATTGGACCCCATGATTCTAGCTTGGTGTTCCTACTGGACAACGTGCCGGTCGGAACATAATTCCTAATTCACCACTAGTGTACTTCAACAGACCACAGAGTTTTTGTTATCACCGTTAGGTTTCCACTCTGTGCGCTGATTCCACTGGTGACACTTTTACACACTGCTTTCACTCAATCACTCATAAGGCACGTCGATCCTCCTTCTAGGCGGAGTAGCCTTTCTCTATCAACGTTTTATCAACCTCCTTAATGGCGGAGTAACCGTGTATATCAACGTTTTATCAACCTCCTTAATGGCGGAGTAACCGTGTATATCAACGTTTTATCAACCTCCTTAATGGCGGAGTAACCGTGTATATCAACTTTTTATCAACCTCCTTAATGGCGGAGTAACCGTGTATATCAATGTTTTATCAACCTCCTTAATGGCGGAGTAACCGTGTATATCAACGTTTTATCAACCTCCTTAATGGCGGAGTAACCGTGTATATCAACGTTTTATCAACCTCTTTAATGGCGGAGTAACCGTGTATATTAACGTTTTATCAACCTCCTTAATGGCGGAGTAACCGTGTATATCAACGTTTTATCAACCTCGTTAATGGCGGAGTAACCGTGTATATCAACGTTTTATCAACCTCCTTAATGGCGGAGTAACCGTGTATATCAACTTTTTATCAACCTCCTTAATGGCGGAGTAACCGTGTATATCAACGTTTTATCAACCTCCTTAATGGCGGAGTAACCGTGTATATTAACGTTTTATCAACCTCCTTAATGGCGGAGTAACCGTGTATATCAACGTTTTATCAACCTCCTTAATGGCGGAGTAACCGTGTATATCAACGTTTTATCAACCTCCTTAATGGCGGAGTAACCGTGTATATCAACGTTTTATCAACCTCCTTAATGGCGGAGTAACCGTGTATATCAACGTTTTATTAACCTCCTTAATGGCGGAGTAACCGTGTATATCAACTTTTTATCAACCTCCTTAATGGCGGAGTAACCGTGTATATCAACGTTTTATCAACCTCCTTAATGGCGGAGTAACCGTGTATATCAACGTTTTATCAACCTCCTTAATGGCGGAGTAACCGTGTATATCAACTTTTTATCAACCTCCTTAATGGCGGAGTAACCGTGTATATCAACGTTTTATCTTACCCGTTATCTGTGGTCACTGGTCCGGTTGGATTCCGTCAATCGTGCCTAGGATGAGGGAGGTTGGACATATAAGCACCGGTCCGGCCACGAATTCTGCGTCCCGGGTCTTTCTCGGGGTCGGCTGATGATCCCGGCTGTCGACAGACTTGCGGCTGTCACTTGTGACTGTGTCTGTGTGGGGTATCTATATTACTTTGTAAGGGTAAACCCCAGCTCGGTTCAATAACCAAAATCCAGTGAACAGAGATAACAGATACTCGAGTTCCAAGTTTTACTTGCTGCAAGGAGAATCGGCGAGTGACAGGCCGTGTCAACTCCTTAACCAACTCAACTCGCCTTCTCCCAGTGCATTCTTTTTATTTCAACAATACAGTAACATGACAATCATGTGGTGTTGACCAACACCTTATTTGTTAGTGTGAATCTTGTGACTCTCAGTCATGTGAATCTGTGTGTGTGTGTATGTGTGGCACTGAACAGACTGTTCTCTGTTCCTCCATTATGCTTCTTGTAACACATTTATGAGAATACATTATGAAAACACATTTATCCTTCAATAAACTCTAACAGTCTGTCACTGTGTGTGTGTGTCATTGTGTGTGTGTGACTGTTTGTGTGACTGTGTCTGTCACTGTGTGTCATTGTTTGTGTGTGTGTGACTGTGTTTGTCACTGTGTGTGTGTGTGTGTGTGTGTGTGTGTGTGTGTGTGTGTGTGTGTGTGACTGTCTGTCACTGTGTGTGTGTGTGTGTGTGTGTGTGTGTGTGTGTGTGTGTGTGTGTGTGTGTGTGTGTGACTGTGTATGTCACTGAGTGTGTGTGTGTGTGTGTGTGTGTGTGTGTGTGTGTGTGTGTCACTGTGTGTGTGTGTGACTGTGTGTGTGTGTGTGTGTGTGTGTGTGACTGTGTCTGTCACTGAGTGTGTGTGTGTGTGTGACTGTGTCTGTCACTGTGTGTGTGTGTGTGTGTGTGTGTGTGTGTGTGTGTGTGTGTGTGTGACTGTGTCTGTCACTGAGTGTGTGTGTGTGTGTGACTGTGTCTGTCACTGTGTGTGTGTGTGTGTGTGTGTGTGTGTGTGTGTGTGTGTGTGTGTGTGTGTGTGTGTGTGTGTGTGTGTGTGTGTGTGTGTGTGTGTGTGTGTGTGTGTGTGTGTGTGTGTGTGTGTGTGTGTGTGTGTGTGGAGCAGAGCCCCGCCCTTCAGAATGCAGTGGACACTAGGGCTGCTCGATTATGGCAAAAATCATAATCTCGATTATTTGGGTCAATAATTGATATCACGATTATTAAAAACGATTATCCATGTACTTTGAAAACATCCATTTATTGGAGGAAAACAATTTGAACAGTATCTTTTTAACAGTTGATTACCCTGAACTTTAAGTATAACTCAACTGAAATTAATAATAATAAAAAAAATAATCTTTATATTTCGATTACGTTGTTTTCGTAATCGTTGCAAGCCATAATCGTAATTGCGATTAAAATACGATTAATTGAGCAGCCCTAGTGGACACTGAAACATGCACAGACATTGGATAAATAACATAAGCGTTTAGTTTATGTAATAAAAGAGCACACGGAAAAGTGACCGTAGATAGATGACTTCAGTTGCGATTTGGCGCTATATATAATATATATTAACCCTCCGGTATCACTGCGGACATTTTTGTCCCGAATGACTAATGTGTGACTTTTTTGTTCAATCTGATTTTGTGCAAAAACTAATAATGCAAAAAAATCTATTTTGTTGCTAATCTTTGACACATCCAAGACTGTGATAAAAAAAAAAAGAGCCAGTCCCCAGATATGTATGTTTTGGAAAATAACTCATTTCCTCTGTTTTCATCATGAAAAAAAACAGTGGTTTCATGTATTCAAAATGGCATTTAAAGGGTTAAAATCCTGAAAATGATTACATTTTTGGTATTTTCTATTAGGGCGGAAGTTGCTTTAAAGATTGAACCCCAAAAAGTTGTGAAAAAAACCTTTTAATATAATGTTTTTATCAAAGTCTTTTGCAGTGGACATTTTTGTCTCGAATGACTAATTTGTGTAGTCCAATGGTAGGGGAAACACTGAGAACATAAGATAGCTAAAAGAGAATAGATGGGTAGCTTTACAAAAATAAATAACATTTGTATACATAAAAATGTCATTATAATTTCTCTGCACTACTATGAGTAATACCCAAAGGCAAAGCTAGGAAACAAATACCTACAAATACTTACTAAGATGGAATAAAATGTAACACAAAAGCGTTTTTTTGTTTGTACAAAAACAAATATTTTCTCTAAAAGTCTTTCAATGATAGCATGAGATTTCTTCTTGGATCTTAAAGACAAAGCAGTCTCAAAATGTCTTGAAGTTTACGTTCTAATCTGTCTTTGTTTGCTCTCTTTTCCTGTAGGTCCAGACGCTCCGATCCACTCTCTCCCTGAAGGAGCGCCCCCTGCTGGCCGACAGGACAACAACAGCCTGGATCCACCCAGAAAGGTAGATGGAGTGTGTGTAGAAGTGTGTGTGTGTGTGTGTGTTCATCTCACTGTGTAAAGACACCGTTTCATGGGGAAGAAATCCCAATAATAATATGTCTCCGTGTGTGTGTTCAAGTGTCTCCATGTGTGTGTGTGTGTGTGTGTTCAAGGGTCTCTGTGTGTGTGTTCAAGTGTCTCCGTGTGTGTGTGTGTCATTCACCCTATATGTCATTGAAAACCTCTTATTTGTGACTTCTTTTGTTGAACTTTCCTTGTAGAAGAATGCAGCCGGGGATCAAGGGAAAAACAAAGGGGGGAGGAAGAAGAGGGAGTACGTACCCCAGAGACGGTCTGGAGGCTACGCTGTTCTGCTCACACTTTACAGAGTGTCTCAGGTACGCCTTCCTCCTTCACATCTACACAAAATACCTCCATGTTTTGCATCGTGGGTTCATTTGATGTCTCTCCCTCCAGATCCCAGGCAGCAAAGGCTACATGTTTAAGATGGAGCTCCAAGCAGAAGCTCAGCAGCTCTGCGATAAGTCCTTCTCTGTGGTGAGTGGAGTATTCGTTACAAGTGCATTTAAACCCGCTTATTACACCCAAATAAATTGAGGATTTGACACGACTAATGATTTTAAACATGCTTTCATATATTTGAAAATTATCGTTTTGCTTTCGCTAAGATAAAATAGTGGCGTAGCAACTTAACTTAAAATGACGACGGCACTAATCGAGATGTTCTGGTGCATAACTGTCAGTCTTTTACCTCCTTTTATTTATTTTGACATTATTAAACACCAATATGTAGAAGTATTGGATCATTGCGTGTGGGCTGTAACAGTTTAACACGGGTAGACACTCTGAAATGACCACGAAGCATTATTATGACACAGAATAATGAACTATTTAAATCAAATCAAGTTTTATTTATATAGCACATTTTCAAAACGATTTTTGGTCAAAGTGCTGTACATACAATCAAAATACTTTACAATAAAAACACTTTACAATAAAAACACTTAACAACAGCACAAATAAAAAAATCACACCTATTCTGTGTGTTGACATTTACGACCATCCCTGCTTCTAATCTCCCGTAAGGAATGTGATAATGGAGTCGTATGTTGATACTACCAGGTTTTATGGCCTGACCTGGCGGGCACAGGGGGGGTTTTACGACTGTGAGAACGCGGGCTTCTAAGCACCACGGATGTCAGAGACATCTCCATTGTTCCCAGGTGTTCACGTACCGTCCCCCAATTGACTCTCTGTATACTAGTTAAAAGGTCTACCAAGATGCGAGGCGGATCAGATTTGACATGGCAACCCACCCGTGCAGTCAGAACCTTTGACTGTGTGACTTGTGATGTGAATTTCTCCGACCGATGCTTGTATTAAA